TACTGTTTTACCTTTGAGTTACATATTGCTCCTTAAATATCACTGCTCCTCTAATGAACAACCCAGTTATAGTCCGACCAATAACCGGAAGTTTCTCTCAGGCCAGTGAGAGGATGAGGCCTCTTATTCAAGTCCCAGAGTCAACATGTAAGGGAACACTCATCTACTTTCCTAAATTTGAGAAGGAGTGAATTCCATCTTGCATAGTTATATTTCCAGCTCCCCACTCGGTCTCGTCCCCAAAATAGTAGAATTATTGAGTTGGCAAGCTGGGTCACTCTCACCCATACAAATCAAAGGACAATCCCTTATAGGCAGGAATATATAACTCTCTCAGGATTAAGATCGAGTTACATGGTCATCTTATAAGATAACAATCTATTGACTAACGGTGTTAGAGCCAATGATTAATTATTTCATGGTCCGGTCTTATACAAACTCATTGTATAGGATACCCCCACTCACATGTCTCTACATGAACGACTTGGATAAAGTTCTTTGTAACTATTAACAAAGCGGGCCTTATCCATGGTGTTACCAAGATAAAGTACCCAACATTATCCATGTACTATAGACCATTTAGGTTATTACTAGAACATTATTCACTTATATATCGAATATATACTGTATATATATTGTATATCAAATATATACTGTATATTAAATATATATCGTATATCAAATATATACTGTTCTAGTTACATTAAATAACATTGGATCTTAGTTTATTGGAATACGAATAATGCAAAGAAATAATAAATAACTTTTATTATTAATAAATAAAATATTTACAAATTATAAACTCACGAGCTCAGGACACTAAACCCAACAATCTCCTACTTGTACCTAATGTTTACATAAGGATTACAATAAACTAAGACATACAACATACCCAATGACATCTTCCACTTGCCCTAGACTAAATGATACATGTCTTGTAGACCTAGAATCTCTAGGTGACCCTTGAACACTTTAGCCGTGAGAGCCTTATTCACTGTCTAGGGTGATTGTGCATGTTTCTCTTCGACGCCCTATATTCCAGCAGCCTTTAGTCGTTCACTCAATCGTCATGATATTCCTCCTCTAAGTTTTATCGTAAGTTTGTTGGAGTTAAACAGATATACTCCTCAAATTTGGTTATTAACAAAACGCTCATGTGGTAGGTCTCACATTTATATATTTTTTAAAATACACCTGAAATTTAGGAAGACAAAAAATATTTTTATAAACTAAGTTTTCTACGCAAAATCAGAACAAAGATTTTACCTTCCTCGAATAGTCGAAGTGGGCAACGGTGACCGGTTATGGTCTATGGCGGGACGACCGAATTTGGTTTGGACAGTGCAATGTGTAGCAGGACGCCCGGATCTTGGCCAGTACAGATGGTGCAGTAGCAAAGAGGGTCGGATTTGTGTCAGAAGGAAAGACACGGCGATGGAACGACCAGATCTAGGTTGGGATGGTATGGTGTGGTGGCAGGAGGGTTGGGCAACGCGACGGCGGGTTGGGCGACGCGACGGCAAAGTGGGAAGCAAAGAGAGCGACGGATATGGATGGGGGCGGCAGCGTGAAGGGCACGTGAAAGAAATGGATGATTGGGGGCGGTAACATGAAGAGCGCGTGAAAGAAAGGGATGATTGGGACCAAACCTAATTTGTTAAAAATCAAATAAAGGTAAGTTGATTCCCTAATTATATTTACTCTCTTATTTGGAAATCTTCTATTTTAGATGGGTAAATTTCAAAATCTACCTCAACACAGCCTTATCAAATTTTTTTTAAAATCTACTTTCAAATTCGTAAAATCTTAAATTCCAAAAATTATGTATATAATATACCTAATTGGTTACAGGGGTATATTTCTCAAAACATTTTCTCAGTATTTTTTAAGAAAAAATCATTTAGCCATTATTTCAATATCTCATAAAGCTTGGCCATTTTTTAAAACATGTTATTAAATTTGGCCATTTCTGCAGTTGCCCCAAAATTAAAACCCTAAATTAATTGTGCCCATATGCCTGGTTGGACGGGTCAAATCACGCAGTTTGACCTGTCAACTCTTGGGTCGAGCCCTTTTATTTGGGTCATGGCTAAACTTCTTTTGGGTCAAGGGCCAAGCCCCCAACTGAATGAAATTCATGTATGAGTCAAGTCAACTTTCACGACAAGCGTAGAGCAGTGAATTAGAATTTCCAAAGTGGGGGTCGTGTGTTTTGAATTTATATATTGTATATATAGAGAGAGGTCAAGCTCACGAACTCTAGTTTGAGAGTGGTGGCCACATGGGTAAGATAAAGTCCTACCGACAAACAAGCTATAAAGAAATCTGTAGCTAAGGTTGAAGCGAGCCCTTCCAGATCACTATATATTAAGGCTTAGCTCGAAGAGGCTAACCATTGGACTCCTAGCTTCAGGTTAGCCCAAATCAAACCAAGGCCCTTAGGCCTAGGTATGGTCCAAGGGTCGAGCCCCATGGGTCAACTCATGGGCCTAGCTATAGGTCGAGGCCATGGGCGGAATCCCATGAGTCAAGTCTTATGGCCCAAGTCCCTGGGGTGAGCTCATCACAAATGGGCCTGTGCCCTTCAACTTGTTTCTTCTGGATCTCAGGAATTCAAAATTGGAATAGAAGGATATCTAAAAGATCTTTAGGTTTACTCCTTTATAAATAGAAGGAGAAGTCTCATATACTGTGTACACTACAAAAGTTCTAATTAACTTTCGTTATGCTTAACAGTAAAGCACCACACCGGTATGTATTATTTATTTCAATAGTAATAGTATTTGGTTTGTACATATTTTGCAATATTTAAGGGATTAATTACACCTCTTTTCTAAGCTTTGAAAGTGGTTAATCAAATTGAAAATTTGAGAGTGTGATTTTTATAATTTTTCGAAAAAGGAAAAGAAAAAGTAAATAATTCTTTTTTATTTTTTGTCGGTATGGATTAGAAAAAGAAGAATAGGACAAAAAAAAAAGGTCGTCGTTAGACCCCGCATAGAGTTAGAGTTTGAATACTTGGGGAAGAAGCAAAACAAGTCTATCACCACAAAGCTTGGGCGCCACGGTATCTCATTAGCAGCCAGCCCCCACTGTCTTACTGTATAAGAAGCCGCTTCCATCGGTGTCTTTGGGAGAATTCACAGAAAATTATACATCAGAAAATGAACTCAGTGTTTATATTTGTGGGGGGAGCCGTGTTCGGGTCGCTGCTGACCAGAGGCTTTCGGCGCTGCCACCACCTCCGCAGCCGCGGCACCCGAGCCCGAGATGCCGCTCGCAGCAACTTCACCAAGCAACCAAGTATGGACATTAGTGGGGCAGAAACGAAAGTGAACTAATGGCTTGTCTAGTGCTGTGTGGTTGATAGGACTTGAAACTTTTACTTTGTTCACTTTTGTGATATTATTGTTGTATGGTATTTTGCAATAAAAATGAGTGTAGAACCCTTTGTTTCTCAGCAATTTAATCTTTCGAAAAAGAACTATGATGTAGATTTAAACCTGCCCCAATCTTGAACCCGATTGCAATTTATCCCACATGAAAAGTAAAATTTGACATGTCACATACACATAATCCGTAAATGATACTATCAGCACGCCACGTAAATATTAAACTAATGGATTTAAAAGCAAAGACTTGTTAGATAATTAAAAGTTCAAGAATCTAGTATTAGACACTCGTTAAAGTTCTAGGACTAAACTACCTATAATTTTGTATCAACTCATGTTTCCAATTATTAATAAAGGTTTTAGGGCATCATATTCGTGTTTTATATGTCAACAAAACTAACGTACAATCTATTACATGAGGATGACATTATCGGTGTCCATGAATCAATAGAAACAAATTCAAGATACTTGTAGGAAAAGATTTTGATGATTCAAAAGGGAGTTTATTAACTCTTCCTAATTGGCATAAAGTCACAAAAAGAGGAACGAGAGAACACCCACAACCTGGTCAAGATATGATTAACATAAACCAATGAGATTTTCTCTAGAATCAGAATTAAATACAGAATTTCAACTTTGAACAAGTCAAGAGTAAGTGAAGGCTTAAATAAATAAAGGGAGAAAAAAGACAAATTATAAGAAACTCAGAAATAACCAAAAACACAAAATCAACTTCTTCACCCCTCTAAGCTGATTTCATCTAGTCCATATACCTATATACCTATCAAGTAAAAGGGAAAAAAAATCGTGAAAGACACGGTGGCCAAGGAAGGAAGCACAATTTGCTACAAACTCCCCCGCAACCGCCACGGTTCAAGTATAGGCAGCTGGTAATTTGTTGGTAGCTAGATAACTATGTTTCCTGAACAACAGCATTTTTTCCCAAAGCTAAGGGAGTTCTTGAACATTTAAAAGCCAGTTCAAGAGTGAGAAAGTTCACGGGTTCAAATACAGAGGGAAATAGGCCTTAAAGTCTGAAGCAAATGACACTATAATTTATCCCCAATAACCTTCCTGATTTCAAATAACTAGGCCTCATTCGATAACCACTTTGGTTCATGGTTTTCTGTTTTTAAAAATTACCCTTGATTTCTCACTGTTTTTTTTATTTTTTTTTGTACGTTTTTTCAAATTCCTTAAAACCACATTTGAACTCTTAGCCCAATTTCAAAAACCAAAACAAGCTTTTAAAAACTATTAGATTTTAAAACCAAAACAAGCTTTTAAAAACTATTAGATTTTAAAACCATTTTTAAAAAGTTATCAGACCATTTTTAAAAAGTGGATAACAAAACAAAGGAACACCTACTTAATTTTTAAAAACAGAAAACCAAAAACGAAATGGTTGTCAAACGGGGTCTAGATTATCCAACAATGTTTCAACTAAGCACCAATAAGCTTCCTGGAGGTTAAGCATACAAGACTACCTCAAGCAGCTAGATTTTCCAACTATGTTTCATCATTTTGCTAGACACTAGCTAACAGAAACATATCTGATAAAAGATCATTATAGGAAGTAGGAGCAATGATAATTAAAATAAAATGGAATGAAATAAAATCTTATCGCTAACTGTGAGCAAAATGCATTGCTAGAACCACTAAATTATAAAATTCAACATTTTAGTTCTGATGGAAATTTCAGTTCCAACCTCATCAAGTACATTTACAAGCTTCAAGCGCTTTGTCCAGCGAAAGTTTTCCTTTTATTGCACATAAAAAGGTAAAAGGGAATGAGTGCTATAAATCTCCAAACTTAGACAGCAGCAGGAATGCATCTGCAATAATCAAGATTAGCTTCTAGTCACATAAGTTGCACAGAATACAACATTCCAAACATATTAAGAGTGAAGAGGAAGCATGTTTAGAGTAGAACATCAGGGTAAAGTTGCACATTGTCATATAAATCTATACCCAGTTGACAATATCCAATAAAAATAAGTGCAATATGTTATCTGATAGATACGCCAGTGATCCCCCCTTCCAGCTCCAGACACAAGTATTGTTGGCCATATGACTTCTTTTCGATCTATGACTTTGTTGTTCGATGGCAGAGAAAATATAAATGCCTACATTTAAAGATATTATCTACATTCTAATTCTACTAGATGAATTTTTCAGTAGAAGTAAAGCATCAAAAGACCATTCTCCTGATCATCAGTGGGAGTTTCTCGCACTGCAAAGTAACAAAAATTTCAAATTGGTACTCTAGATAGCTCTTCCTGAGTTCCATCCTTTTAAGGTGGTTTAACAAATGTACACAATAGATAACCAATTCCTTCGTACAAAACTCCAAAACAGTAAAATGGCAGTTTTCATGACATCATAGCAATTGAGGACTCGTTTTGTTAACGTTGTTGTTTCTTCATTTCCAATAAAAAATGAATTGCATGACCCCAACATCCATACATTCTTTTTATTTATGTTTTGTAACAAATTAGAAATGGAAGCAAGATAAGATAAGAGAATCTTGTTTTGGTTGTTTCCAAAATTTCTATACAATTTTGAAAATGTTCCCGAAAAAATAGAAACAAGAAACATAGTTAGTTGCAAAATGCTTAGATTTCTTAAGAAATTGGAAACGAGAAACAAGATTGGGAACGTTACCGAATGGGCAGCTACATAGACACAAGCACCAAGCTCTATTTTTGGTTAACAACGAAGATATGAGGAAAACATAAATAATAAAATTGACAGAGTTGAAGCAATTGCCACACGGTTGGTTTACATTAGATATCAGATTGAGCCCACCAAAAATTAAGAATAGCTTTCATTCCTTCCCAGAAAACACCAACATGACCATCAAAGCTAATCAGTGAAAATTGATTGTTTATCATCTAATTTAGGAGTAAATACGAAAGACGGATATATAGCATGGAAAGATTAAATGGAAACAAAATGCCATAGATTTCTGCAGAATAATTGGAAAGCACACACACAAACGCATGGAAATTTATAAGGCAAAGTTGACCTGTAGAGATGATAGTGCAGTCAGTGGGTGGCGGAGGCGGAGGATGCGTCGGCGTGGTGGTGGTGGTGAGAGGAAGAGGGAGAATGGATGCGATTGTAGACTTGCTCGCCGACGAGGTAGATGCCGAAAGCGACGAGGGCGATGCCGAGGCCAGGAGTCGCGTGCCGGAACTGCTTTATCAGCATCGGATGCTTCCTCCACTCGTCTCTCCTCCTGAAGAACTCTCCCGTCGATCCCAGCGCCTTGTTCGCCATCGCCAAACTCTAATCTCTGATTTCCTTTTCCTTTCCCAAGATCCAAATGCTCGCTTCTTCTCTCCCTCGCTCTTCACTTTTCACTTCCTCGGCCACTACCCCAAATTACTTTATTACCCCTCCCTCGTCCTTTCTAAGAAACCTTTCTTTTTTCCTTTTACTTTTACTAGTTTTTATAATTTATATATTTACTATATATTTTTATTTTTCTCCGTCAAGATCATTGTCGAGGCTTCTATCCTAGGGGTATTAAACTCAGTGACTCAAACAACCCAACCAATCTTGGTTGGGTTGAAAAAGATTTCGATTTGGGTTAGGGTTGAAAAATATTTCGGTTTGGGTTGGATTATTTTTTTCTAGAACCAAAAATTCAATTTGATTTTTTATTTATGAAAATTTTGAAAGGCAATTAGAGGAGTGACTATTTAAATAGAAAAATGGTTTAAAGAATCCAATATAAATGGCTAACACAGAGTTATAGTTCAATGTTGGAATTTAATGTGGACAAATATATCATCCTATCAAAATAAGTAAAATTATCCTACCGTTACCCCTTAAATTTTATGGTAAAAATACTCTTGAAATAAATCTTTGCTACACTTTAATTTTAGAAATAAAATAGTGAGTCAAAATTTTAGAAATAAAATATGTTAAATGAATAGTTTGAAATAAAAAAGAATTAAGATGCAGAAGAATATGAAAAATGACCTTACAAAACATAAAATCAATGCATAAAAGTTGAAAATGAGTAAAAAAAAGATTGAAAAATCAAATATTATTTTTAAAATTATGGATGTGTAGCTACATTAGGAGACACGATAATTAATACCGTGACAATTAAAATTATGGAGGTGTAGCTTACGAATCGACTTCTTCTTCCCCAATTTCATTTTCTTGTAGCTTTGCCATCAATCTCGTGCGTTGTGTACATCCCTGCAGACATATATAGTGTAAATACGCGTATAGATAGAATAAATACAGCATAAGTAGAGAGACACACAATACTTAGATTTTTCTCGATCAATCTGGTTGCAAAAGATGGGATGAAAGTGTATGAATGTTTAGGTGACCCCCTTTTAAAGGCTTCTCCATTCCTCTCCGAACCTTGTCATAACTAATATTTATGTCATGCTTCTTCCGAACGTAATCAATTATGTCACGTGGACTACAATGTCTCCCGTTGTTCATGCTTAAACAGTATCTTCGCACATTCACCTATCATTGTTATTGTCGCTTGCCTATGGTCATTACGAATGACATCAATCGAACAAGTGTGTTTTGATAAACAATCCATAATCTACTGTCCCTATATTGAGAGGAGTGTATATACCACTTGCATGTTTCTTCGATGTATATTACAATCAGCTGTTTCTGGTTGAGTTTGACGGTTTTAAACTGAAAATCTCTTTTAATGCAATCGCATAAAGAGTCTTCTTCAATTTTTCCTTATTTTGAAAAACATAATTCTTCCAACGGGAAATTAGATGGAGCACAGTCAAAATTAATAGAGTCTATGAATTTCTTCCCCTGAGGTAAACTACGTTATGAGTGACCTTCGTACTTCCGCTGCCCCCATAGATGGTGTTATATACAGGGTCAGTATCAACAACTAGCAGCAGTCGCTACCTATGACATCAAACAAAAGTGATATGACTCACGCGACGTCCCTGTCTACTGATAGCCTCATAATGATTGACTTGCTCGCACCATTTTTGAACAAGGAAAGGCGCATAATTTTCTTTCATTTTGGAAAATGAAGATCTCTAGAGATGCATGCAATGAGTTGTTGTAGGACAAAATCAAATCGAATTGAAATGTGTCAAATCCTGAACCTTTGATAATTGTCATGCTCCTCCCAGTTTCCATCATGTAAAATCGTGGTTACGAGTGATTGTATACTATTCTTGCGTTGTTTGATTTAAATTCTCAAACAATGAAACCAAAATGATGATTTCAAAATAGTTACAAGGGAGTTCAAAATAGGTAGAGATTTTAGCGGTTTGACTATGTAGAGATTTTAGGGATCACGTGATTTCTGTTGAAAATCTGGATAGGTAAAATAGAGAAAGGAGGCGATGTCATACCATATAAATCTAGACATCAAATGTGGGTGGGGTAATATATAATTCTACCATTCCCATAATTTTCGGAAATACTAATTCGGCCATCATATATGGCCATTTTTCAAGACCAATTTATCATCTTTTTCTTAACTTAATAGCAAATAGCAAATGGAAATAATTTAGACGTTTGATCTTACTCTTTTTTTTGGTACAATATGTGGTGGTGGGGTTTCAAATTCATGACTTTTTGGTCAGAGATGTATGTCAATTACCATTGAGCTGTGTTTGATTTAACGATGTTTGATTTACTTAAATCAATTGATATTACATAATTGGATACATGAGCTGAGTAACCATGCATTCCATCATCAAGTCAATGACAAAAATGAACAAGCATTAGCAGATGAGTTTTATAATTGATTGAGTGTTGAGTTGTTGATGTTGCCTAGTTGATCTAATTTGATCCTGTTCATTGGCTTAATTAGTTTTGATATTTTAATTGCAATCCGAACTACTCCTTTAACTAGATTGCCTTCTAGCTCTTATTTATCATTTGAATTATTTGATTCATTGCTGTTCTTCAGATAATATTTATTTCTCCCTATCATCTAAAGTAGTAATTTCAACGTGGATTTATCTTGGAAATAAAAAACAAAAACTTTAAAAACTAAATTAGAAATAAGAAACGAGAAACGATAAATTAAAAAACACAAACGCGCGCAACAAAAAAAAAAAGGTTGAAGAGGAAATCCCCGTCTTGAAGGGTAGTTTAACTGAGGGGTAAGTTTGTAAATTGATATTAAAATAATGATAAAATAATTTTTTTATCTGTGGGGAGGGGAGGGGCTGAGGCTGAAGTTGAAGTTGAAGCGTAAGCGTAGAACCCTAAATCAAAGCCGGCAGTGAGCAAATGAAATCAGGTGCTTCTCCTTCTTCAGTGGAAGCTTCGACTTTGAGCAATGGAGGAGAAGGAGTCGCCTCGGCCCTATCTTCTTCCCATCGGTCTCCTCTCTTGCTTACTACACCACCCAGGTACTTTCTCCTTTCTCTCTCGCCTCGCCGCCGCCGGAATCGCCGACTGGATTCACTTTGTTGCTACCAAACCTTTACAGTTTTATAGTTTTCGATTCTATAACGGCCTCGAAAATGCAACTTCTTTCTGTTCATTTCACTCTGCATTGATTTTTCTAATTCAAAGTTTTTATTTCATATTTACAAATAATGCTTCAGTATTACGTGATGCTTGCCGTTGGGTTCTTTGAAATTATTTAGAATATGTAGTTAGATGGGAATTTGACAATCTTCGAGGACGTACACGGGTCATATCTGAGTAGTAAGTTTGGAGTGTGGCTCAAATGCTTCATTTTAGAAAACTAGCAGAGTTGATCTAGTAGTCGTTTACACAAATGAAAAAGTTTAACCTCATGGTGACCACCAAATGTTGTAGGGCCGAGCAAATTTTCTGTGACTCAATGTTTTGAAAGGCTTTTTGTGAGATTCAAACTTTTGGCCTTGATACTTATGCCTTCTTTTGACCATGAGAGGCAGCCTCGAGGTGAGATTTAAACCTTTAGCCTCGATTCTTATGCCTTCTTTGGACCATAAGAAGCCTCTTAGAGAAGAAACTTTTACACTGAGAATGCACTATGGCTCAAAGTCTTTATGTCCATGTAACGATTAGAAGGATAATATCAATTTGCTCTCTCCCTTCTAGAATATAAAAATTTCCTTATCTATGTAATGTCAATACATTATATGTTATAGTAATTTTACCTATTACTACTTTTATCACCTTGGCTTAGAAAAACTTTAAAGAATAAGTCAAATCCTATCCTATTAGTGATATTAGTCGAGGTATCCTATGAGATTAGTTGAGGTGCGCGTAAGCTGCCCCAAACACTTTTGGATATAAAAAAAAATCCTATCCTATTAGTGATAATAATAATTATGTTAAGAACAACAACCTTGAATAGGATTTGTTCTAGATATTCTCCTTCTGTGTCTTTGAGTTATGATGATTGTGTTAAGAATGACATTCTAAAATCTTCATTTAAAAAAGGTGACAACTATGGGCATGACTTTATTATTTTTTTCTTTTGATGTTTACAGTTTATTTATACTTGATTGTACATTTTTATGATTTGCATAATTTTTATTTATTTAAATTGAGGCTTATGCCTTGCTTCTTCTAGAGAAAAAGCTTTGAGGCTGCCTAAACATTGCCCATGATAATGAAAAATATGCTTCATTTTGCATCTTTGCCTATCATTTTTTTAAAACTCATCCTTTATTTTCAATTCTTTAACGATTGTAATGGGTGCCTGCAAGTATTTTTTTCCCTTCCTTTTTTGGTGTGTGTCCTCTCTTTTGCTTATGAAACATGGTTTTTGTCAAAAAAGAAAAAAAAAGGATCGAACTTCAATTTATTTAGGAACTTGTGCAATTCATTCTTTTTCTCTGCATTGAATTGCAAGTGTAAAAGTTGCAGCCTTCTTATATGATGTGTGTGATTGGTATGAGAGCAGGCAAGTAGTATCAATGTGGACTTGCTCAAAGCTCTGTGCTTTCTGCTTTGTTGCTGGGGTGGTTGTTGGTTACTCATTGAAGCGACAAGTCAAACGATGGGCTTCCAAGATGTTGAGGAGATTGAAAGATGACTGATATGTGATATGTCCATCCCCATATTTTGGTATGCCACTTTTATTCGTTGTAATCGATACAAATGAACTACTAACCATAGTTACTCAATTAGGAAAGATCGTGCCTCACTTTGTTCCAATTTTTGAGGAATTTAATCATTTAGTAAATGTTCCTTTCTCGTTGTTCATTTTTAAGAAAAATTCTCAAAACTCTGTATAAATTTTGGGTAACAACAAAATCTAGTATTTTTTTTTTGTTCTAGTTTCTTAAAGAAATATTAAATAAAAGCATTATTTTTATCATTCTCACTTATAATAAAAAAATGATAAAATAATGTTTTCATTTAAATTGGTTGATACACGATGCCACAG